ATCTGGGGCATATCTTTTCCCTGTGTGGTTAGAGGGCAACTGGCTACACCAAAGTCATGCACACACAGTATAGAGTTTACTTAGGCAAACACCTCAAACTGTCCCCATTTTTAAATTAAACAGCTCAAACACTCGTCTCCACTCTTCAGTATCGGGGAATTAGCAGTGACAGCCTTTAACGGGTCGTTAGAGGCCCTTCTTGGGGGGGGGGGGGGGGGGGGGCAGCTATCATCTCGCTGAAGCTGTAACTCATTACACTGGTGCTCTCTGTCTGTGTGGAGTTTGCTTGTTCTCTCAGAGCACTTTGAGTTTCCTGCACATACTCCAGTTTCTTCAAACACTTAAAAGACATAAACTGTCTCTTTTACATATAGTCTGTGATTATGTGTGTGTGGATTAATGTCCCCACAATGTAATAAAAACCTCTTTTTTCCCCATAAAGATCCGTGAATGTAATCAAAAAAGTAAAAATACCAAAAATCTCATATTTTGTTTGGTTACTTATGGTTAAGGTCTTCATGTTCTGATTAGAGTTTTCCCCATGGAAATGAATGAAGAGTCCCCACAAAGATATAACTACAAACGTGTGTGTGTGTGTGTTTGCCATGTGATGGACTGTCTTGTGCCCTATGATACCTAGAATAGGCTCCAGGGTCCCCATTTACTGGATAAGCAGTTGGCTGGATCTATGAAGTGATGGATGGATGCATGGATGGGATTGTCACTGGCAGTTGGCAGCATCCTCTTCCCTTCCCTTCTGACTAAGGGAGGTTTAGCGCAATCTCTGTTTTTGTGTCCAAAAGAATTGTACATTTCCCAGTAGGCAGCACTGTTTCCACTCACCCCTGCAGGGTTGTGGGTTTGAACATGGCCCCCTAGGGGCCCGAGGCATGACCACCCTGTTGTTTGCTAGACAAGAAGGCAGGAGAGAGGTTTTCATTTGCACTGCGCAACAAAACTTTTGCATTTGCATTTTCCCGCAGAGTGTGTCTGCTGCATGTTGCATTGCTGCTGTTAAATGTGCTGATTGCTGTTGCATGTTTGGTATCCGCTGATGTTCCCTACTGGGGCCTTGGAGAAACATCGATAATGGGAATGTAGGCATCTTCATATTATGTTCACCTGTTTATTGGGAGAATATTGGGAACATTATGCTACATTAAAATTATCGTACCTCTTTATGCTTCTTACTAAAAATGATGCATATGCTTAAGGGCACAGCACACTGACACAGAGAAGCTGCTAGCAGCCAGGGAACTTGGTGTAGCAATGGGACACTTCAGTGAGGTCACAGACCCAGCCCGTGATCAAGACACGCCGTCCTGGCGGTGCCAGTGGCAGTTCTAGCTGAGGGGAGAGGGGGGAGGCTGGGGGGGTAGGCTAAGCGAGTTGACAGGATCGACCCCCCTAGTTCCCTGGGAAAGCCTGACAGGCTTCAAGCCCACTGCCCCAGAAGCCCAAGCTCCCTGGTAGGAGTCGCTGCATCGCAAGGGCCGTCTGGATGCAGGATCAGGAGCAGGGAGCACCTGCGAGAGGAGCGGGGTCAGGCACGGCTGTCTGCAGACCCCCCCTTCCTAGTCAGCTAAAAAATAGGTAGATAACTAGGTGCAACATATGTCACAAATGGTACCCATGGTTTGCAGATCTTATTTCTCTTAAGATTCAGTGCAGTTGCATCACTATTCAGATATGAATCAATTGCCTCAATAAGGGAAAAAGAAGAATATTTCGCTGAAAATGTAGTAAGTCATTCTGCTTCTCATGTGCTATGCCGAAGAACATCTGCCTCAGAGGGAAGTGGAAAGAGTCGGAATAAGGCGTAGGAGACGATGTGCTCTGTTTTATTTTTCTTCGAATGCGGCTTAATATTGCTTTTCCACAGCCTGTGGAAAACACACACTAACAAAAAGCGTCAAGGCCCAGGGAGAAAGGGCTGCACTCCCTTGCCCCTGAGAACTAATCAGCAGTGTAATATTGGAGCACTCCTCCCACGGCGGGCCCGCCCCAGCTCCCCGGACCTCCTCCAGCCCGCCGGCGCTCAGCACCGGCAAACTTTCCTGCGATCTTACTGAGGAGAGGCCTCTGCCTGGCAGCCTCTGTTCCCCTCTGTTGGGAACGTAGGACATGAACCGGTGAGGTGTTTACTGAGGAACCAGCTGCCTGTACAGGCGATCACTGCCACGCCAGAAGTGACCTCTAAGAATCTGTGCTTATTTGCTCATTTACCAGTGCAGCGCAAAAGTGGCTTAGATCTTATTTAAGTGGGGGTACAGGTAATAATTAGAATAACGTGTGAATTCTGATGAAGATTTTGAGATTCGACTTGTGATGTAATTGACAAGTGTACACAGAGTATATTTATAAATGACGATGATTTACCCTTCATTTTTGGTTCTCCACAAACTTAAGTCCCAGGCCCTGTTGTGTTCGTAACAATTACAGAAATGCCACCAAGAAGATCCACTTTTGAGACAAAGTATCAGTGGGATGAGATGGGTCCACTCTGTGCTGGTGGCAGTCGTACAATACAGTGCAAGTCAGAACATGGCAAATGGTTGAGTTTTCTACGACTGGGGTCACGTTAAGGCAGTTAAAGCCTCCAGTCATCTTCCTGGGCTACTGGAGAAATCCACCATACTGGTATCATGTCCCACTCCAGGCTGTGTCCGCTGGCACATCGCAGTGTCACGTGTTACTCCAAGGCTATGTGATTGTTCCGCAAGTGACATGCAGGCAGTTTTACTTCCCTACCTGTCCATGCGCTGCCACTCTGTCCAGCCACGGCATAAAACAACAGCCGAGGGCGTCTAACATCAACGTGGTAACCTCAATGCATTTACGATTAAAAACTGCATCCATTTATGCAGTGAGGGACACGGCTCTCTCTCTGTTTGCTGATTATAAGACTGAGAGAGGTTGTCATGGAGACTGACCCAGGGAAAAAAGAAAGTGTTCATAGCGTTGACCTTTTTTTCTGGGGGGGCTGCTCTGGGGGCTTCAGCTCCTCTCAGTGTAGAGCAGGGCGGAGAACACAGCGCATTGTTCCAGAGTTCATCAGTTCCATTGTTATGATGCCGTGGCCCGTCCTGACAAGGCGGGATCCGCAAGCGTCCACCGTGTGTATCCATGCCAGAGAAGGGGCGGCCCACCCACCCCCTGGGTCACAGTGCACCGCGCTCGGATCTGAAGGCCCCGTCACCCCCCCCCCCCAACTCTGCCTCTAGCATATACCATGTACAGTTCAATTATTAAAAGCATGTCTCCCAGGTAGACCCAGGTGGAGTCAGAGGGCCTTGTTTTGTAGTCATTAAAATTAAAGCTTGTTTATATTACTGAAGCCGTTTGCATTGGTTTCGCGTACGTAGCAGTGATTTGAAGGCACCCTACCTTTGCCTCACTGTATCTGATAGGCTGTGACGCCAGCTTACCATGGGGAGAAGCTTTGACTAATAAGAAATTCAAATGAACCCATAAATACTGACTTCATGACCGTACCTCGGAGATTGACTGTTTTAAATAGCAGTCCTCACAGCATATGGGTCCGTGGCTCTGCCATAACAAACAGAGCGTTTGAAGTGCTCCTCGGAGAGTATACACCAACTTATACACTCTACCACTACGGACCGCTGCTTAATTAAGCCAGATATATATGTGTAAAAGACTATCAGCCATCAGTGTTTTTAATAGTAATTTTTTTAGGTTGTACATCAGCATGAATATTTATATTGTGAGAATTATAATTGGCAACGTAGACTTACAATGGCTGTGTTTCTCACTTGAAGGCTTTGTATGTTTTCAGTGTTGCGTTTCCATTTGGTCGACATCAGTTTCTTCCTCAACACCATAGTGTGTGTGTGTGTGTGTGTGTGTGTGTGTGTGTATGGGTGGATTAGGTTTATATTACATGGTGGGGACGAAATGTTTATTGATGATTATTTTTGATGTTGTGTTTTTCAGGTCCCCACAAAGATCTATGAATAAAATCAAAAAACTAAAAATGCCAGGTTTAATTTGTTTGGCTACTTATGGTTAAGGTTAGGGCTGAGTAGGGGTTACGGTCATCATGTTGCAATTAGAACGTTCCCGAAAGAAATGAATGAAGAGTCCCCACAAAGATATAATTACAAGCCTGTGGGTGTGTGTGGGTGTTTGTGGGTCCCACCAAGGGGAGAACCCCCAGCTTGTCCTGTGACTCTGTACCACATGCTCACCTGAGATCCCATGATACCTCTGGACACTCCAATAGATCCGTTTTGCATAACAGACTTTGTGTTTAGCTGGTGATCCACACATAGCTCATAGCAATTATTAAATTTCACAATTATTGTTAATTAAATTAACAGTGGGTAGTGTGGTGCTTAAGTGATGGGGAAAGTCATTAGTTCACGTTTCAGGGGGGAATCTTCTGTTGTACCCTTGAGCGAATTCTTAACCTGAATTTTTGTTGTAAGATATCTTACTGTCCATGTTTAATGAGGTTTAATGCATGGAAGAGATGACAGCAGTAAAATACTGATAACAATGCTGGCACATTAACGTGGAAGGTTACGTGACTAAATTATATGCAGGTTGGGTTGCATAAAAGACCCATGACCAAACAAGAGTACAACTGCACTGCATGTACTCTTACTCTGTTAATTTATAGTCATAGTCAGAGTAAGGAATGCCAGGACCCAAAATGTGCGCCCATGGCACAGTAATGTCTGCATGTCTGTGTTTTCTCCACAGTTTTTGTCCAGGCGAGCAAACTACAGCAGCACATCTTCTCCGCCCACGGGCAGGAGGACAAGATCTATGACTGCTCCCAGTGCCCCCAGAAGTTCTTCTTTCAGACAGAGCTACAGGTGAGCCATAGGCGGGGAGGGGGGGGGGGCATGCTGCTGTATCTGTCGCAACCGCCCTGCTGGGAGAACGGGGACTGCAGGAGTCATGAATCCGTGATGTGAAATCAAAAAACCCTACACTCAATATTGCAATGGCAGTGCTGCTGGCCAACGTTCAAAGGGCACACATTCATTCATTTATTTATGCGTTTATTTAGTTTCTGAATCAGCTACTCACCCATTAGGGATCAGGGGATGAGGGTGTCATTTAAATTTCCTTGTGATTTGTCTTGTTGAGTTACACCTGCTGGAGTCCGGGCAGACAGGCTGCCATCCCTCGCCATATGATCATAGGGTGCTTTCTGATTGGTGGGTTCTTCTTTGAAATCTGCAATGCCCTTCCATCTCATAATATGAAACGCAAACTCCCTGCCATTAATGATTGACCGCAAATGGATCTCTGCATCACCTCATGTTCATCTCATCGAGAACGACGTGAGATCCTGTTACCTTACAGCCATCTCCGAGGGGCAACGCTTCGTTAAAATTGTTTATCCAGCCAGACGCCAAACTTCTATATCTATTGGCACTGGATCGGCGGCTTTATCTGTGCAGGAACCGCGCGTGTGCGGGGCAGATTAACGCTGAAAACCACCTGCGCAGCGCCGATAGCACAGAGAGCTCCAGTTCTTGCTAATTGTGTGCTGTTCACATCATAATTCAGATGCCAGACATTGAACTATTAGCTGCCAGGAGCAAGGTTAGCACCGCCGATAACATCACGGCTGTTTGTTAGTCTATGTGTGGCGGAGACCATCAGAATGCAGACGGCGAAGGTCGGCATGGAGGCAGCAGGCGGCGTGTATTTACATCCGGCATGTAATATAACCATGCAGCCTTGCTTAGATAAAACATACTGTATCTTCCAGGATCTAAATGGGAAGGGAGAAGGGCGTGCCACAACTTTTTAATCAATCTGTCAGTCCAACTAAAGCTAGTAAAAACTGAGGAAGACAAAACTTGGTGGATGCTCCCCTCAGTGTTATAACTCTGGCATCTGCAGGTATTGTTTTATCCATGCTTATATTTATTTCACACTTCATGAATGTGCTCAGGAAGAGGGGCCATGAAAGATGCATGGCTTTTCCTGCGTAGGTTAGCAGAGGAGCACAGGCCGGGGAAATAGTAATCGTTATATTCTACACGCACGTCGGCGGCAGCACGTCCGCCGCACACCAAAGCAGCAAGAGCACCAAGCTAGCTGTCAGCTCGAATTTCTCCCATAGACAACAGAGAGGGTCTAACAAGCAGGCCTTTCAAGTTCAGACCAGGGGGCCTTCCTGAAAACCGGGCCTGCCACTGCCTACCAGTGCGGGGTCTGGGGCAATCTGCATAGCCCTTCCTCCTGATTGACCAAGGCGTCACGCCAGCCACAACCTTGTCTTGTACCCATTTGGACACGTGCTTCCTCCATGTACAGGATCAGACTGGCACACCTGTCAGAAACCGTCGGGATATCGCTCAATCCTCTTCCATCAAAGGCATGTGGTGTGATGCTGAGCTGTGTTTGGGGGGGGGGGCATAGGGTGGGATACCACCATTGCAGGGGTCCAAAAAATTGAACGCCGTGCGAGCCAGAAGTCGTCTTGCATTTTTATTTGTGCTCCCCTCAGTCTAGGAGGTGAAGGATCAGTGTCAAGCGGGGCCCACGGTTGCCAGGTGGGGGGGTAGGGGGTGGGGGGCAGAGGTGATATTTTATTAATTTGGCACTGAGGTTCTGGATTCGGAAGCCCTTGACAAAGCCTGTGACAGGTGAGAGGCCCCCAGCCAACCAGACACCCCCCTCCACCCTCAAGCCAAATTCTTCCCGGCAAGAAGCTGACTAATTCCGGTCGGTGTTGCTGGGTGGACAATAGGAGTGCCTACCCCTAATCAGCCCTCCAAGGACCCCGCTGGCTGCCCCCCAGCCCCCAGTCTGATTGAATAACTCCCTGGCCTCCACCCCCCCAGGCTCCACTCAACAACAGAGCGCCAGTGTTGGGGGGATCCAGGGAGAAGCAATCTCTTGTAGACTGGCACTGAAGTGAGATCCAAACTAGTGTTTCCAACCCTCGGGGGGGGGGGGGGGGCTGTACACTGAAAGATAGATGGAGTGCAGATATTTTATGAGAAGCTGTCAGGAGTGGAATGCAGTAAATGTTTCAGGAACTGAGTTTAGCCCAACTTCAGACTGCGAGGGGGGTGGTGTTCGGTGAACCTCAGCCCCATCTTCTGTAGCTCCAATAGCTTCATTAGCATCTAATTTGTGCCATTACCCACTGTCCCTCTTAGTTATCCTCACATTTGGTGGCTCTTCAGTCTCTGCGCATCCTGAAGACGAATCCACTCTGTTGGAGCTTAAATATTTATAGCGACAGAATGAATAGAAATACTCTGTTCCAGGCCTCCAGCCGACCAGACAGTTAAAAGTGTGACTTCAGGTTGGCACGTCGTCGTGTTGAGCCCCTGGGGTCGCACGTGTATCCATGCGTGATTGGTGGTTCATCTAAGGAGCACCCGGGCTCATTCATGGAGTCGTGCAAAGCCTGTGAGGTGCTGCAGTAAGAGAAGCTTCTGAAGCCGCTTGAAGGGATGTTGAGGAGCTCTGCCTGCTGGAGATGAGAATCTCCACAGCCCAGACTTCACAGCCAAATATGTTCCCCTTAAACCCCGAGCTGAACGAGCATGTTCAGGATGGGACCTCTGGCCTCATCTGTAATAAGAGTATTTTAAAAATGGTCTCGACACCCTGCTATTCCAAGAACCTGAGAGGGGTCCTACACCCACTCAAAGGGAGACAGACTCAGCTGATTGTTCTCAGTAATTATCTCCTGCAGCTCACCTGACCAAAAAAAGTCCTCTCAGAATGAACTCTCGCAATGTGACTCATTTTTGCTTTTATTAATCTCTTATTCTTGGCATTATTTTAGTCTTCGTGAGGCATCCCAGACTTCCTGTGTGCTCTACAATGACACGATTTCAGTCCTCGCTCTTCTCCCCGAGGGCTATCCTGATAAGTTTTACAGTCCCTCAGATAAATGTCTTAAGCGAGCCCGTGCGGACCTCCTTGAGAGCCTTCCAGAACTTAATAGCGTATATACTTTATCCTTGCAACAAAGGACCCCGAGAAAGGATAGTAGAATTTCTCATCATGCCATTTAGCAATTCATTACTTTAATTATGGGATATTTCATTTTTCATCGTAAGGATTTGATTGGCGGCTGAATGGGAGAGGAGCAGCTCCTGGGAGGGTTAGGGACTTGTCTGCCCCCAGTCATGTAGTTGGTGGTGTGAACCCTTAGCCGGTTAGACACTCGTGGGTGTGAGTGAGAGACACCAAGACTGGGGGGTGATAAGGTCACTGTAGCGTCATTGTCCGGCTGTGCACTCGTCTAATACGTTTTTCTTATTTTTCTTCATTCAGAATTTCTTTTTCATTGTTTAACGGTCCGTGTTAAGCCCTGTCCAGTGACACAGCTTGCTGCTCTGCTGTGCCACGGAAACATGCTTTATCTTGGCCACTCTGTCAAAACAGGCCGCTCAGCTGCTGTTTTATTCTTCCATATTAGTGCTAGTTGTTTTTCAGTTTGTCTGTTTCTTTTTCTTTTTATAACATGGACATTTGTAGGGTAACCTCGAAGAGACACAGACTTCCGCCATCGCGACCTGGTCAAAATCCACTACCGCTCTCGGCTCATTCCCGGTAAATTGAACAGGCTGGTACAGACATCCGGCTGTTATCACCGCTGGGGAGGGAGATGTGCGTTTGCTGCAGGATAAGCTTTATGCTGCTCCAATTTGCCAGGGCTTCAAACTGAAAAGAAAACCATTACAGACATATTTTCACAGCTATGTAGGCACTGGTGGGACTATTCGCTCTAGGTTTTAAGTCCCCCCACCGAATCCCATCCTTTAGATGTCCCGAAGGATTGCAGATCATATGGCACACAATAGCATTTTCATTTTTTAATCATCCGTCGCTTTGAACACCTTATCCCGTGGAATGCCGAGACCTGTCCACTGTGACTGCGCTGCTGTCTTTGAAACCGTTTTAAAAAATTACTTTGCCGCTTCTCATTTGTCGCCCCCAGTCGTCGGGAGCAGAGTCTGAAGTCATTGCATAGGTTAGGCTCTAAATTAAAGCATGGAAGATACCCCAGTCGAGGGAAAACCCTGTTAATATTTAAGATTATTTATAACGACACACGACTGCATGGTTGCTGTAAATATTTCCACGGTGTTCTTTAGAAGTAAACAAACAGCTTGAAAGAGACGTTTGGATGAACAGCGGTTGTCCCGTTGCCGTGCCGATGATCTGCGCGCGTCGGTGCGCTCCGAGACGACATGACAGGCCTGCGATCCTGCGAGGGCTCCGTCTGCGTGCGTGTTCGTGTGCGCGCGTGCCCGTGTGCCGATTCCCTCCTGGAGTCTGATTTGTGTACGTGAGCGTGTTATCTGGGGGGAGACGTGACAAATACTCCCACTAGTCCTTCAGAAGCCCTCTGTTCTCCTCGTGTTTGTACTGAAGGGAAAATGGGAGCTACAGCATCGGATGCGACTTTGTTCACGGTTTTGCGGAGGAAAAACCAAACAAACAGGAGGCTGTACGGCGTCACTCTGCTCCATCTGAGGCGCCATACTTTTTATTGAACTTTTCGAAACTTCGAGGAAATGTGTCATTCCTAGTGATCGTCGGGCCGATCTGATAGGTAATCAACAGCCGGCTGGCTAGTTGCAATTCATTCTCTAGGGTTATCGCAGATCATCAGCTGTTAGCTTTGCTGCAGTGCCCGTCAACTCCCTGAAGAATTCGGTATGCAATTTGCTGTGCGACACGCTGGGGTAAAGAAAAACACCCAAGGCTGATGGAAACGATGGCATTAAGCATCCTATTTCATACCATCATCCATTCTGAAAACGGCGTTACCCATAAACATGCAAATGGCTACACGGGGGAGCGGTCGCATTTGTGACAGAGAAGC